CTCCTCCTCCTCCTCCTCCTCCTGCTCCTCCTCCTCCTCGCAGTCAATTTCGCCACACCTCTCGCGCGGCTCAAGTCAAGTCGACTCTGGCCGAGGAGCCCGTGGCTCCACCTCGCTCCGCAGGCGGAAACGGAGGGCGTGAGGCACTGCGGCAACACGGCGCGAATGCACAAGACATGTGGCAGATAGGGCAGTCTTGAAACATATCTAATATACATCAGTTATTTCGCGTGCTAGTAAGAGGTGCATTTTCCAACTGCTGCCAAGGGAAACGTTCCTGGCTGCGGATAAGTATCGTGAGGTTCGTGCCGTGCTCTTGTCACAAGAACGAATCGATGGTACCTGTCCATCTGCGCCGCGGCCGACCTCGGCGTCGGACTCCGGCTGGGATCCAACGCAGACTCGCGAAGGCCATCCGTGCGAGTCTCTTGTGACAACTCGTGCCACGAGGCGCCGCGTGCAGCGGTCCAACACGATATACCAATCGGACACAGGGTAAATGTCCAAAACAACGCGGGCTTTTTGCTTGCACCGTTGCCAAACCTCTTCCCAGCTTTCGCCCGGAAGCTTGCTGAAGCAAGCGGTCCGGCGGAGCATTCTTGAACGCGTTGATGGAACTAGTGGCCGCTGCTGTGCTGTAGCGGCCGTGGTCGACAAACCGTAGTGCGCGGTGGGCGCAACAACCGCGTCAAAAGCCTCAAGAGGAGAAGGCGCACATATACAGCTTATTTGAAAAGCGCGGCTTTGTGGGTGTGAAATTTTCCCCATGCGCACCTCACGTGGTAATTTACATTGCACGCCGATATGCTGCGCAAGTCGCTTCCGAACTTCTTGCTGAGATACTTGTGGAAGACGTGGGACGTCATGGCACGGAGCTGACAACCGACAGGTTGCAAAACGAGACGACGTTGCAAGCAACAACGCCCTCAGTACATATTCGCGTTTTCTCCGAATTGACCGCGGGGCCGCACGCTGCTAGCTCTTCCTGCAAAATGTCCAACATACGAATTACCTTTGCAGCAGAACGTGCATATAGCAAAGTCTGATCAGCGTACCGCGTGTCGCTAATCAGGGCTGAAGCCTCCAACGTCGAAACCACACTGTTGAGCACGCGCTTTGGATTTCCGAATTGCGTGCCCCAAGCCGGCGTTGAAAAGCAGCGATGACAAAACACCGCCCTGCCTGACGCCGCGCGTAATGTTAAAAGCTGCGCTGCCACTGGCGCTTCCCATTCGTTGGGCAATGCACGTATCCGACAAAAACCGCACACAGTCTACATCGACTCCCTGCTCAAACAATGCACGGACAAAATACGTGATGCTCCAATATGTCGAGAGCTCTGGTGAGGTCAATGCTGGCGTTCCACAGCGGGAACTACCACTCCCAAACTTTCGTGCAACAAATCTCCACCTCGGGATCGGCATCGTCCACAAAGCGACTCGGGCTATATCCAACCTGGTCATGCATTTGCGCTGTCACTGCGGGCTGCAAGCGTGCGTGAACAAAAAACCGATCGATTATCTGAGATGTGATGCGTAAATTTGCTACGGGGCGCCAGTTGTGAACGTCATTTATACTGCCCGTCTTCGGTAACATGATGAAACATGTCTCCTGCCACGTGGGATCGATGCACCCAATGCTGAACAACGAATTCAAACGCGACAACAGATGTCTGTGCAGACCGTCGCCGCCACGCGCAAATAGTTGCAGCGTGATATCACGGCCGTATGCACACTTATCACGCTTCATAAATTCGAAAACTTGCCACAACTCTTCGATGTAAAACGGCGGGATGTTATACACAACTCTATTGCAATTCGCCGATACCCGGCAGCGCCTCGACCCGTGGAACATATCCGTTCGAACGAGGTTTTAAACACATTGCAATCAAATGGGCAACAATTGTTTTCCTGCAAAGGGGGAAGGTGGACGCGCGGTAACTGCTTGATGCCTTCGAATGTTCGCAGGTGCGATTCAGCACGAGAGCCGCAATGTTCCCGCATGCGTTTGCGGTGCTCCCGCGAAATCAATCTGGACAAGCTGACCTGTTCTTGTGGGTCATTTATTTCGCGCCGCTTCTGGCGCAGCTCCCGTAGCTACGGTGCGTCCCATGGCTTCGACTGCGGACGCTCAGAGTGACTATGGGTCGCTGTTGCTTTGCTGAGGAACCAGCAACGTGGCCCTCGAGTTCAAAGAGGGAGGGCGGCCGAAATTAAGATAGAGACTCCTGCACAACGCTCTCATCAAACAGATCGCGGCCCTCGACGTTCAAAAAAAGCTTCCATTGAAACGCATCGTGCTGGCGGCGCCGAAGACCTGGGCCTAGAAAAAAACATCTCGTGCACCGCGCAATGGTCCGAGCCTAGATCCATATAGTCACTCTAGTCACTCGGGCAGCAATGTTGGCAACGGAGCCAAACGTCAAACAACATATAATATAAAGCTCGCTTGGCGCCGAGAGATATTCGAAACGTCCACGCGCCAAGTGCATGCAGGACGCTGCCAGCCTCAAGGCCGTTTTCCAAGCAAAACGGTTGCAGTAGAGGTTCTCTTTCTCCGAAGTCGACTTGGGTGTTAAAATCGCACGCGGTGCATATTTTTCGGCGTCGCCTCCTAGCAACATCGACCTCCTACTGGAAAAACATTGAACAGTCTACTAAGTCGTCGTGCGGATATCTCGCTACAGAAAGGAATTTGCAAACACTGCTATTGATATCGATGCCGACGGGAAGAATTTGGCCGTAACGCGAACACGTGGCTGTGACTCCGCCCGCGTGCCAGGCACGCAAGCAAACAGCCCCCCCAGCGTATTTGGACTGGTCCGCTGCGGCAATGAAGCGATGACCCGCATGGAGACCAATGTCACCAGATGCTGCACGGATCTCGCTGAAACAAACAATATCCTGGGATGGCGCTGCAAGTTCTCCTAGCACAAGCCCTAAATGTGCACCCGCGTCTTTGCCGTAAACGTTATTTTGAAACTGGATATTGAATTCTAATGAAACGTCAGCTGTGCCCCTCGACCGGTGTTGTCCGTAGCTGCGAGCGTCTGCAGCTGCAGGGGCAGGTGGATGGCGACCCGGATCTCCAGCTCGCTGTTGCTGTCCTGCCTTGCCACCGCCTTTGCCCCTTTTGCCGCTGCCTTTGCCCATACGGCCGCGCAGGAGCTTGTCTGAGTGCGTCTTCAGAAGTCCTTGCCACTCTGGGTCTGCGCTGAGGTACTGCTCCCATGATGGAGCTCCACCGAAGGCTCCAGTGGCAGGATTCGCATGCGCACTCGGGTCCATTTCGGCACACCCGTCACACGTTTCGTCGCTCATAGGGAGCTCCACCGAAGGCCCCGGTGGCAAGGTTCGCATGCGTACGCGGGTCCATCCCAACACACCCTTCACACGTTTCGTGGCCCCATGGGGAGCTCCGCCCGCCGAAGGGAGGGTTCGCATGCGTACTCGGGTCCACTCTAGCGCACCTTTCACACGTTTCGTGGCCCCA